GTTATTTCTATATTGCAAACAGACACTCCAATTTTATTTATATGTATAGATATATAGATTACGTATATTATAATATATTTTAAATATGTTTTTATTGTACAATAATTTGAGGTAGACATTATTTAACCCCTAGATTTATTTCAATTGTAGTGCCCACGGGTGATCACTCAGTCCCAAGTCCCAACGTGTAAATTTACTTTCATTGCGGAGTGATCCACCGGTGGGCATGCGGTCTTAAACGTGTTAAATAAATTTTATAGAATGAAATCCCAGCATAAACAGTGTTTTGTATATTTTTCTGTCTGTAGGTACTATCCAAATGAATCCTACATTAGAACATTAGCATCGGTCCACAGAATAGAAATAGAAATAGAAATAATCTTTATTCAAATAAACTTAATATAAGCACTTTTGAATAGTCAAGTTTTTTGATTCTACCGCTTCTTCGGAATGCAGATTCATCACAAGAAGAATAAGCAAGAAACTTGTGTGTTGCTCTTTTAAATAAATATTGATTTACTTATATTTAATTAACAACAAGGATTAGGCATGCGACAATCAACATAGAAACCGCTACGCACTTAATCTCTGTTCAATCAGATAACATTGTCAGCGCTATGAATTTTAAGTTAGATATTTTCTACAAAAACATGATAAATTCTTCAATTTTATAATAAGGTTTTTTACAAAGAAATATTTTATAACAATTTTTTTTCTGGCAAATTGAGTACAGACTCTGGGAGTTTGTCTCGGGGAATCTATTTATATTCAATGATTTTCCCGGCTTCTTTGATGAACTAGGCAGTTAAATCGGGTATCCAATAGAGACGATCTCCCTAGACAGTTTTCATGATATATAGAATTTTCCACGCATGTTATATGTAATTTTTTATACTATATATTGGGGATTAAAATTAAATTGTCTAGTAGCGGGGGAACCCTATTATACATCACGCATGGTTATCTAAATCTTTCGAATGCGAGATTTAATTCCATCAGCTTTCCGAACGAGTGGTAGATAAAAATCAAATTGTTATGACTATTCAAAAGTGCTTAAATTAAGTTTATTTGAATAAATGATTTTCTATTCTATTCTATTCTATCAAAACGGTATTATTAAGGGCTCTTATTTACTGTGTTATGTGATGAATCTGACGTCAGATGGAATGGATGTGATATTCGTATTGCTTGTGATTTATTTTCTAACGTAATTCAAATGAACGGAAAGTGTCTAATTATTATCTTTAATATTTTAAATACTGCCCTCTCCCTCTTTCCTTTAATGTATATATATGTTTTTCTCGTTTTTGTGCCACAGAAAACCAGCTGTATGTTCACATGGGACGTACAATAAAGCTGAGTGGAACAATTTGAGTGCCTATATGGATGTAAAAAACGATTATTTTATGTTTATTTTTAACTAGCTGTACACGCGACTTTAAATGAAATTTAATTTATTATTCTAATATAAAAGTAGCATAAGTTACTCCTTATTACATCAGCTACCTTCAAAAAAGTCCCATCAAAATCGGTCCAGCCATTTCAGAGATTAGCCGGAACAAACAGACAGACAGACAAAAATTATAAAAACTGTTATTTTGATGTATGTACCGTATTTATATCCATATGCATGTAGTAAAAAACTGTTATTTCAATATTACAAACAGACACCCCAATTTTATTTATATGTATAGATTATCTACTAAGTAAATTAAGTTTAATTATATATACATTTTTTTTATTCTTTTTTTCGTTTGTTTGTTTTTTATATTGTAGCATTGTTGAAAAGCACTGCATAAATACATATTTGTCCTTCTTTCTTTCTTTCTTTCTATAAACGTATATAACTGAATAGAACAGTTCATATCACGTGGTACTTCTCACGGCACACTCACTTGCCATTTCAGAGAACTTTATCATGTGCCTTACACCATTTTTTTTCTCCTTCACTTTTCCGCCCATGACACACCGAAATATGGGATGCGACCATCTCTGCTGCTGTTATGTGGACGGTATACTTGAAACCTGGGACATCTCAAATTAATAACCAAACGAGAAGCACTGAATCACTGGCAAAAAATGCCAGGATTGACATATTCAAAAGCCCCAATATCGGGCTACTCGAACAAATACTCCAATAGACTACTGCTATTGAGTAAAAACAACATATGCATGATGACTAGGGACCTCACAGGACACTGCAAATTAAACAAGCATATGGCTAAACTAGGCCTATGCACGACAAAAACCTGCAGATTCTGCCAAACTGAAGAGGAAACGCCACTACACATCCTATATGGTTATAGCCCACTCATGCATAAACGAAATATCTCCTTTGGAAAGTTTACACTCTTTCCCGAGGAGATAAAAACCATCGCTCCTAAGAATATCCTTCAATTCTTGTCCCTGACGGGTCTAGGTAGCGAACTTTGAAAAAGGGCGAGCACAATAGATCTGTGTAGGTCGCAGTGCTACAGGTACTACACACATATGACAATAGCCCAAACAACACAATAAAAAAAATTAAAAAAGTATGAATGAATGTTTGTTACTCTTTCACGCGAAAACTACTGAACAGATTTTAGTGAAAATTTACAGTAATATAGCATATACATCAGAACAACCCAATAAAAAAAAAATTCTCATCAATATTTAATAGCAGGGGGTACCGCGTGGAGATCGATCTGACATGGTACTAACACTCCACTCACCCCTGGGGGTTTTAAATAACATTAGAATGACTGTTTATATGCACTAACGTATATATATAACTTTTTATTTGCTCATACCACGTAAAGGGTTGTATGGGGTAGTAACTTATATAGGGTGTCATAAAGAGTCGACTTATGCGTGTTTTATTACACTTAATACGTTATGAGAACATAAGATACGGAGCTTAATTTAAATATTATTATATTCATTTGCAATTTTAAGGGTTGAAAGAAAGAGGGGAGAAAATCATTTATTTGGCACACGTCGGAAGCAGTTCAGTAAGACATATACATTGTATATATTAATATTAATATCTGTCTGTCCGTATTATATAATGTTTCAATACTAATATATTTATATTCAAATTCTATGTCTATATATCTGTCTCTATGTTACTTTATCACGACAAAACGGCTGAACAGATCTTAATGAAATTTAATATGCGGATAGATTTTATTGCAAGGACGGACATAGTCTATTTTTAATCTTAAAAGCAATATAATTTGAAGAAGATTTTTTTATTTTTTCGTTAAGAGTTTAAATTTTGAGGTTTAATACTTAGGAACATCAGTTTTTGGAATGTCACGTAATTTAGGATCTTTCCCACCCCTTTGTCACACAATGTTTTAGGTCTAGGTCACTTTGTTGAACTCCTCTTCCCCTTTGTCACACAATGTCTTAGGTGTAGGTCACTTTGTTGAACCCCTCTTCCCCTTTGTCACACAATGTCTTAGGTCTAGGTCACTATGGCGAACTCCTCCCAGCCCTTTGTCACACAATATCTTAAGTCTACTTCATTTTGTCATCCTCCATTATATGTGAGGTTATTTATTGTTGTTATAGATATACGATGTTTTTACCTATTTTATAAATTAGGTCTCTCCGGAATTCCTCTATAGCATTTCTATAGAATATATTGAAGCTCTACAAATCGACAAAAAGTAAGTTCTTATAATATATATTTAATAACACAAGGGTCGGCTGTACGAAAAGGTTTGTATTATGTTTGTTCATCTTCTTGATTTTCAGCATACAGATTGTCATATATTATTATTATGTTCTAGTATGTCACCATATATATTGCGTAAGCTGTAACTTTACAATTAAAAATTATATATTTATACCAGCAGACACGGCCACGCGTTGCTGTGCCTAAGGTTCTTGAATAAAATATATACTGCGGCTATAAATTGAGATGTATCCTATCTTTCAAGTTGGATCAAATTGCACATTAGGTGCAAATCAAATTTGCAATCGGTTCAGTAGTTTAGGAGTCCATCGCGGACAAACAACGTGACACGTAATTTTTATATCCAGCCATTTCAGAGGTTAGCCGGAACAGACTGTAAAAAATGTTATTTTGACATATGTACCGTATTTATATTCATATGCATGTAGTAGAAAATGGTTATTTTAATATTACAAACAGACACTCCAATTTTATTTATATGTATAGATGTATGATCTCAACGGGGTGTCTACGATAATGAATTTTGATGCCCCAATTATAAGGGTTTTAGTTGCTTCTAATGTATATGTCTATATGTATAATAGTACATCAGTGTCGTATAACCAATCATATCACACAATTAAAATGATCTGGACATTACACCCGAGTCATTTGTTAGAGTTTGAACTCATTTCCTAATACGATGCGAAATTTCAAAGTCAGTTTGACCGATACGTGGTCCCTCCGGCAAACCGTCATGTTAAATTCCTGTATAATTTTATAGATAGATTAACTTTTCCCCGCGGCATCGCTCGCGTTAATTTATCACCTTAGGGGTGGAATTTATCAAAATACTCTCTTAGGGGATGCCTACGTCATAACATCTACCTGCATGCCAAATTTCAGCCCGATCCGTCCACATAGTACACATAACACAAGCTTTAGCTAGCTTAACTTGGGTCTAGATGGCGCTGTGTGAATTGTTCTGAGATTATTATTATTATTATTTAAATACTTGCCAATGTAAAACGAAGACTTGGTCTTGACCACCGGCCAAACTGGAATGGTCAGGACCTGACTATTTTGTGTAGTATCCGGTGTTTTTACCATCACGTATGTTTGCAGTGAGGGATCCAAGTTTCTCAGCTGAAATATAATTACAATGATAATCTTTATATCACTGTATATAGATAATATATTAAAAATATTTATAGACTCTGGTAGTTTGTTGTAAAACCTTACGCAATTATTCATATACACCTTTCCATTATTATCCATTCAATAAAAAAATGTTTATCTATGGTAATTACATGATTTAATATATAATGTGTTGTTACAGATGTACATAATGTAACATGGTCACCGTCACCACGCGCCAGACTGCCGTGCGTGGTGGCAGACGGCCATAGGATACAGCCGCGTCCCCCGCCGCCCCCGCTGGCGTCCGATGACAAGCCACGTGCGCTGGACAAGCAGCAGACCTTCATCTGGACCAGAGACAACGTGGAACTCAGCCAGAAAAGGTAATACCTTTTCTGGCTAATATATAATTTTAGATACGCCCTAAACACGCGAGTGAAACGGTTTTTTTAATTTTTTTTATGGATGATAATGGAATGGTGCACCCGCCTGCGCTAACGGTTTACGCTGGCGGTGCACCAGTGGAGGATGATAAGATGAGCATGAGGTCAGGTCAGTTAGCCCATCGTGATAAATTCACCAAGATGGTTTCCAGGGGGAACCGCGTGGAGGTCAACCTAACATGGTACATTGCTAGAGTGAAACGGTATTATAATCTTAAATTCGCTCCTAAACATGCCACTGATATGGTATTATCAGTATAATCTTAAATGCGTAAATTTATTGCACCTTTATTGCATTTATTTTGACGACCTCGGTGGTCTAGCGGTCTAGCACACCGCTTTACGGCCGATGGTCGCGGGTTCGATTCCTCGCACGGCACAAACATTTGTATTCATGAGTATGATTGGTTGTATCGGTCTGGGTGTTTTCTATGTATAATATGTATGTATTAAAAAAAAATATATCTATGTATATGTATTAGTTATCTAGTACCCATAACACAAGCTCTAGATAGCTTAACTTGGGTCTAGATGGCTCTGTGTGAATTGTCCTGAGATTATTATTATTATTATTATTGCACGTTCTTCTTGTGATCAGACAGTTTTCCGAATGAGCGGTAAATTAAAAAAAGCTCAATAAAAATTTGCTTAAAATTTTTTCAAGTTTATATGAATAAAAGATTTCTATTCTATTACTATAAAGTTTCATAAAAATCCGTTCAGTAATTTTTACGTGAAAGAGTAACAAACATTCATCTATCCATACTCACAAACTTTGGCGTTTATTACAGTAAAATTATAGTAGAATTATAATAATAATAATAATAATAATAACAATCTCAGGACAATTCACACAGCGCCATCTAGACCCAAGTTAAGCTAGCTAAAGCTTGTGTTATGGGTCCTAGACAACTGATACAAATACATACATATATTTTTTTTTCGTAAATACATACATATTAGACATAGAAAATACCCAGACGGATACAAACAATCATACTCATGAATACAAATGTTTGTGCCGTGCGATGAATCGAACCCGCGACCATCGGTCGTAAAGCGGTAGACTAGACCGCTAGACCACCGAGGTCGTCAAATATTATATATAGTGTATATATATAATTATAGTATATAAATATATAATATATTAGTAAGATTATACATAATATAACCTATACTGAATCATTAACGAATAAATATGCTAATTTGGTACTATTTTTATGTAACTCCATGATTGGCCCATCTGATGGTAAACCTTCACCGTAGCCTATTCTCACTAAACTTATTTGACTATACCGTTCATGAACATTGTTTTACACAAGGCAGGCCTGAAGCGACAGAGAAATTTAGGGGCAAAGGAGATTGTTAGTAATGTGGATTATGACCCCATCACTAGCAATGTACCATATCAGGTTGACCTCCACGCGGTTCCACTTGGAAACCATCTTGGTGAATTTATCACGATGGGCTAACTGACCTGACCTCATGCTTATCTTATCATCCTCTACTGGTGTCCCGCCAGCGCAAACCGTTAGCGCAGGCGAGTGCACCATTTCTTTATCATCCATAAAAAAAAATAGTTTACTAAATAAAATCCTAAAGAGTAAAAGGGTAACTAAACTAAATACAATCCTAAAGAATATCCAATTATTAAATCAGATTTGAATTTTCAAATTAACTACACCTTTACATAGATCAAAATAAAACAAAATCTCCGTCGTTGTCTATTCGCTTATATTCGTTGTCTTTCTTTCTTTCCGTCTTCCGTTTCTTTCTATCTGTCCGTCCCTATGTGTGCTTAAATCTTTAAAACTACGCAACGGATTTTGAAGCGGTTTTTTCAAGAGGAAGGTTTATATGTATAACACATGTATACCCGTAGAAGCCTGGGTGGATGGCTAGTATTATAGAATAGAATAGAATAGAAAATCATTTATTCAAATAAACTTACATTGAAGCACTTTTGAATAGTCATTACATTTTTTAATCTACCGCTCGTTCGGAAAGCTGTCTCATCACAAGAAGAACGAGCAAGAAACTTGCGTGTTGCTCTTTTAAATAATTTTATTATTACTTTACATTTTTAAGTTTAAGTGTGTGAATACAAACCACCAATTAGCACTAATTCTATTTACAGTACCTACCACTTGTATATCTATATAGATGGTGCTGTATGAATCGTCTTGAGATATTATTGCTATTTCCCACAGGATATTTACAAATGGCACCCTGGAAGTGAGCCGCAAACAGAACAATAGCGAGGGAGTGTACCAGTGCAAGGTGTGGCAAAACGGGGGCTATGTCCTGGGATATCCGGTTAATTTGAAGTTTACCCGTGAGTACTTTAATACTTTATTTACATACTAGCTTTTGCCGTGGCTTCGCTCACGTTCAGTATTATTATTAATTAGGTATAGTTCTTGCGGCTTTACTTTTGTTTAGCGTGTGCAAAAAATTAGGGTCTACAAAACTTGTTTGTACACAATATTCTTAACTAATCTGTCTTTAGGCGCTAAAACTATCAAGCTATTGGGTGGTTCAATCAGTCGAAAATCTAAGAAGATTTATACAAATTTCATCCCCTATTATCCCCTTAGGGGTGGAATTTATCAAAATCCTGTCTTAGGGGATGCCTACGTCATAGTAGCTTTATACATGCAAAGTCTCAGCCCGATCGGTTTAAAATTGACTTGAAGGATTTTGATTAATTCTACCCCCAAGGGGATAAAATAGAGGATGAAAGTTTGTATGAAACTTTGTCAATTTTAAACCGATCGGAATGGGACTTTGCATGCATAAAGCTACTATGACGTAGGCATCCCGTAAGACAGGATTTTGATAAATTCTACCCCTAAGGGGATAGATTAACCCGGGCGAAGCCGCGGGCAAAAGCTCGTTTAATAAAAAATACGAGCCGAGTTCTTCTCATCTCGAAATCATTCCGAACTGACGGTACATTTGACATATCATAAGAGTCTGTAATAGATCTACATGAATGAAAATATTTTGAATTTGAATATAATATCTGTTTTTCTCTGGTGGCCGCTAGATTCAGCTTACAAATGCTGGATACAGCGCGTGTTTACATAATCAATGGAGCCCTCGCGAAAGTATATTACATTGTGAACAATTTATTGCTTTTACTCGATTGCCCAAAAAAAACTGCTCTTTTTATTATATTAACTCGACTCGGCCTGACTTCATTCTGCTAAGTTCGCTATTATTTATTGAATTTCGTTTTCTGTGTAACTGAAATGGTAATGAAGCGTACGGCCTGATGGTAAGTGGTAACATAGCACATATCACACCATCACATGATATGATTTTTTTATAGAAGATAAGATAATGGTGCACCCGCCTGCGCTAACGGTTTACATTGGCGGGGCACCAATGGGGTATGATAGGATGAGCATGAGATCAGGTTAGTTAGCCCATCGTGACAAATTCACCAAGAATTTAGTACAATGGTTTCCAAGGGAAACCACCTGGAGGTCAACCTGACATGGTACATTGCTAGCAATAAGATCATCAGTCCACATTACTAACAATCCCCTTTCCCCCCAGTGACATGATATCATCATTTGACACCTGTGATACCATCATCATCCTGTGATATCATGATGCCATTTGAGTTCATTAATTCAATAATTAAATTCCTTAGTGGAGTAACGGTTTAGCACATCGCCTTACTTCTAGCGGTTGTAGGTTCGATTCCCGCACGATGCAAACATTTCTATTCATGAGTATGATTGTTTGTATTGATCTAGGTGTTTCTATTCATATTTGCTAGCAGTCCCGGCCACGCGTGGCTAAGGTTCTTTCAAGTTGGATCAAATTGCACACAATTTGCCAATCAAATTTGCAATCGGTTCAGGAGTTTAGGAGTCCATCGCGGACAAACAACATGACATTTAATTTTTATGTTTAAAGATGTTATATAGTACCAATATATATCTTCTTCATCCTCGCTTTCATCTTCTAATCCTGGGGCGGTATACATTTCGCTGGTAGCCATCGTCTTTCAACAGGCCCAACTCCTTCATGTCCCTATGGATATTAGACAGCCAAGTAGTTGGTGGTCTGCCTCGTCCTCTTTTTGTTGTAGCCATGGAAAGGCACTTTCTCACAACGTGGTTTTCAGGTTTACGCAGAATATGTCCATACCACCTAAGTCTACATTATTTAAGCTTTTCGGTAATAGGTACCACTCCGAAGCTGCCCCTTACATGCTCGTTTCGGACTTTATCTCTAAGCGTAACTTACGATCGCGCAATTTACTCCACCCAGACATGGTTCTATGAGCAATGTCGGCAGTAATCGTACCATCCTCCGAAATAACAGAACCCAGGTATTTGAACTTGCTTACTCTTGGTAGGATTTCTCCGTCCAACTTCAGTTCAGTGTTTATTGTACCAGATATTTCGGGGCCGAAGTTCAACACCATATACTTAATCTTAATTATACTAATGCGCAATTCAGAAGACTCGAGAGCTTCACTCCACAGATCTAAACTGTCTGATGTAGTACCCATATGTATAATATATCTATATACATTATAAAGTGACCATAGTAGTTCTGCTTACCTTAGGACTAGGTGGCGTTGTGTGAATTATCCAGGGTTATTATTCATCATCATCATCGCAGCCCGAAAGACGTCCACTGCTGGACATAGGCCTCCCCCAACGATCTCCACGACGATCGGTCCTGCGCTGCTCGCATCCAATGCCTTCCAGCGATCTTGACCAGATCGTCGGTCCACCTTGCTGGAGGCCTTCCCACGCTGCGTCTTTCGGTCCGTGGTCGCCACTCGAGGACTTTACTGCCCCAACGGCCATCTGTCCAACGAGCTATGTGCCCCGCCCATTGCCACTTCAGAGTCGCAATTCTTCGGGCTATGTCGGTCACTCTGGTTAATATTATTATGATGAAATATGATTTCTGTGGTAGGTATAAAGTATTACTTTACTTTAATACACGTGCCGCCTAAAAGCCTCATTAACAGCCTACTCTTTATATTTCCTAAGTAAACTTATTCTAGACTGTTTTAGGCAATTTTTGAATCAAATGTAAAACAGTTCAACCACTTTTCACTTCGCTTAATTCTAGTATAAGTGAGTGCTTAAACAAACTTATAATATATACAATACAAACATATTAAAATACATTGAACTCCGGCTTTTAAGTAATACTAGTGACCCCGGCTTTGTGCGGATATTTCAGTTAATTTACATACAATATTAATGAAATGGCTGTTGTACCTGAGACTTCGTCTGGAATTTAACTTTATTTTTCTGATATAAAAGTAGCCTAAGTTACTCCTTATTACATCAGCTACCTGCCAATAAAAGTCCCGTCAAAATCGGTCCAGTCATTTCAGAGATTAGCCGGAACAAACAGACAGACTGACAAAAATTGTAAGAAAATGTTATTATTGGTGTATGTACCATATTTATATTAATATGCATGTAGTAAAAACGGTTATTTCAATATTACAAACAGACACTCCAATTTTATTTATATGTATAGATTGTACACCTAAACCATTTTTAGAAATCACTGTATTAATACATGAAAACTGTTTATTAAGGTTTCTTAAGGATCGGCAACGCGTGACACTTCAGGTGTCTCAGGCATCCATAAGACGGCCTCGGTGGTTCAGGTTAGCACACCGCCTTACTTCCGATGGTCGCAAGTTCCATTCCTCGCACGACAAAAACATGTGTATTCATGAGTATGATTGTTTTTTGTTTTTTTAAATATTATATTATACTATGTATAATATAATATTTAAAAAAACAAAAACTAACAACAAACTAACAAACAAACACCCAGACTGGATGTTCTATGTATAATATGTATGTCATTGTATGTATTTACGAGAAAAAAATATATCTATGTATTTGTATCAGTTATCTAGTACCCATAACACAATCTTTAGCTAGCTTAACTGGTCTAGATGGCGCTGTGTGAAGAGTACTGATATTATTATTATTATTATTATAGGCTTTTTTTATATGCTTTTTATAGGCTTATTTCATTTACTCGTTTGCCAACTACGTAGTATAAAAAAATGTAAAGATTGAAGCATAGAAGCAGACGAAGTCGCGAGTAATAGATAGTAATAATAATATAGTGATTTTGATTTCAGTAATTTTCTGAAATTAGCGTAGTAAAGGTCCAGATTTCACGTCAACTTTGATTTCTCTCGGGAGGATCCGGTACATCTCAAAGTCATCTAAATTACGAGCAGTCATTCTAACAATTGTTGGTTTCAAGTTTGTTTGTTATTCAAATGTTATTCATAATATCCATATTATAAAGTTGGTTTTAAGATTGATTTTCGTAACTGATGTCTATATAGAACTGCCTGATCGAAACTATGTATTTATTTATTTATTTAACAAAAGTTACTTAGAAATAGAAATAATATTTATTCAATTAAACTCATCACAAGCACTTTTGAATAGTCACATTTTTTTATTCAACTCGCTCATTTGGAACATACATACATATACATAACGGACATACGCCTACAAGGATAAAGGATAATATATATATATCAATAAAATTGGAGTGTCTGTTTGTAACATTGATATAAATAACCGTTTTTTACTACATGCATATGAATATAAATACGGTACATACACCAAAATATCATTTTTACAATTTTTGTCTGTCTGTCTATTTGTTCCGGCTAATCTCTGAAATGGCTAAATCAATTTTGATGGGACTTTTTTTGGCAGATAGTTGATGTAATAAGAAGTAAATTAGGCGACTTTTATTTTAGAAAAATAAAGTTATTCACGCGGACCAAGTCGCGGGACAGCTAGTATACTAAATATTTGTAATCGTATTGAATTTCTTTTCAATATAATTTACGCGATCTAATCGAATAAGGGATGATACGCTAGGGCGTATTTTTAAATCCAGATTATAGACCATATTAATGTAATGCGTAGGAACGAGGATAATATTTTAAGAAAAATGTTTCAAATGAATGTGGATGGTTATAAGGGCAGAGGAAGGCCGAAAAAGAGATGGATGGACTGTGTGAAAGATGATATGGTAAGAAAGGAAGTAAATAACGCGATGACTGCGAACAGGGATGAATGGAAGCGAAAAACATATTACGACGACCACAAATAAATGGGATAAGGAAGAAGCAGATGATGATTATAGACCATATTAGGTCCAGCCATTTCAGAGATTAGCCGGAACAAACAGACCGACAGACAGACAGACAAAAATTATAAAAATTAATATTTTGGTATATGTACCTTATATATATTCATATGCATGTAGTAAAAAACGGTTATTTCAATATTACAAACAGAC